AAAAGGACACAACCAACGAAACATAAGAAAAACCACAATAAACCTAACATAAAACGTTATCACATAACAGGACCTCTCACAGAAACCGCACGAAATCATACTCCCACTCCTGGCCTAACCCACCAGAGAGGACGTCCTGAGCATGCTCTATAGCCGGCCTAACCCACCGCGCTACATCCACGCTTTGTGACCACACTCCTATTTTAAATAAGAGGTACTCAAGGGTGAGTAACTCTTCAAAATAACCGAACTAAAACAAAAAGCTTTTGTGAAAACAACTAAACCAAAATCATAATTAAAACACCAAACTAATAAAAATTTTATAAAATGTAAATTATACCTTGCAGTATATAGATCAGCATACAACACCAAAGACGAACATCCAAAGACAAAATGACCCCAATACACTCGAAAAAGAATGGCCAACCACAATCAATATGCCGCCCACAATCACAGGATTTAGAGTACGACTTGACTTTGCAGAAAAGGACTTCATTGAACTAGACCAATGACCACCTCGATGTTCAAGTATACGTACAGATCCGAGTAACCAGGCATCCCCTCCACGCACAATTTCCACGCCATTCCCAGACAAGGTCAAACACAAAGAAGTTCTCTACATGAAACGAAAAAACCTGTCATATCCAACCATTCTGAAATCAGATTTGAGTTTGTTGCGAAAACCCAGTCGTTGTCATGAGAAGACACAACGATTGAACCTGGAACTTCTCCAACAAGAGAACCCAGACGAAATATGATGTTCGCCAAATACCAACGTCCATCATCCATCCTTTGAATTGCAGAAAGACTATTCTAAAAAACTCTGTAAAACCCGGATGGGTGGAACCTGATCTAAACTACATTTTATGATTGGATAAATTAGATATTTTACCATTGTAAAGTATTTAATATTAACCAATCATGATCCATCTAACTAACAACCCACTTATTTGTAAGTGCTGAAATTACTTGTAATTTCAGCACCAGAGAGATTTGAATTTAACTTAGAAATTAGTTGACTCTCCAAGAAGACTTCAGCAGCCGCAATAAACCAGTATACCCTAGATCTATTGAGACTAGTTAAACACCCTGAGACTAGATAGTATAAGAGTAAGAATAGGATCGGTATTAGACTAAGAAGTTGCACGAATCTATCCGGCCGAAAATAAGATAGCGTGACGAGCAGACGGTGTACCCTATCCGAAATTACTCTATGAGTTAACCACATCGGTCCTAACTCACTAGCTTGCAATATGTATCTACCCCCTAGCTATACGTGTTTTTGAATTTATTAATTAAAAATCACGCTCCTTTCTTATGGCGCGATAAATTCGAATTCAGTTTTGTCGGATTGGAATGGTTCATAGAGAAAGTGTCAATAAGAAATAAGTTTTGGTTTTATTAGAGCTATAAGTTGACACAATTTTGTCAATAGAATTGAAAAAATGAATTTTTTTTTCAGTTTTCTTGTTTCTCAACATTTTTGCAATTGTCTGTTGCCTTTTTTGAAATCAAAGACATCGAAAAATTTGTAGCTGGAGCATAAAACTCATCTTGAAAGGTTGAATTTATTTCTTTGTTGGCATTTTTTGGTGAGCGCCAAGGAGACAAGCCTGATCTAGGGTGTCCAACTCTTTAACCTCACGTTATTCAACCCCCTAAACTTACATCCCTATTTTATAACCCCGTAATAAGATAACCTCACAACAATTTAACCCCCTTTTAATACCGATAATTGGTTTCAAATCAAGTCCCTCTACAAGCATAGTAGTATTCCAATGGAGGTTACTAATTGAGGCCAGATAAGTTTTTCTTAATTCACTAGATAGTTTAGTCACTCAAAATCAATTGCATTTTGATTAGTTGAAGAAATAATGAGTCATTCACGCGTTTAGGACAGAGATAACCTCCAAAGAGGTCTGTAAGTATAAAAAAATCATGTGGCCTTATTCTTTAACCATTCCTATACCATTCTCTGTGCTTTAATATTTGAAGCGTCCTTCCATTTTACCTTATCTTCCAAATACAAACAATCACTAGTGGTATCAGGCCATGAGTATTATATTGAACGCAAAAACAATACCACTACGATTTGCAACTGTTCAAATATCAAACTCTCAAATCCCGAGCACAAGCAATTGGATGGAGAATATTTTATTGAAACGAGGGGTGAACATAATCATGACAATTATATAGGAAAACCTGATGCTAGACTAGTTTTTGAAACATCAAATGTCTGAGCAATAGTTATACCCTAACTGTCGTTGTCACAAACGTAGTTCAACCCGTAGCAGACGAAATTGCCACTCAGTTTGCCTCACCAACTAAATAAACTTAGGTCGAACTGCTTAACGTGTGCGCAGGCAGTGAAAACCGGTTTTACAGATTCCTAAGCAACTAGAAATGTCGAAATACCCTAGTTGTTTAAAACCTTTAAAAAATTCGACGGTGGACAAAGATCCAAAAATGTGGATTTAATTTTTGGTTCGTCAATTTTTTTTCATGAAAAAACGTCTTTTTGCAGTCTCCCAAAGACTTAAAAAACGCGCTGTCTTGACTCGCATTTGAAAAATTCAGACTGTTGTAGCGCAATCTCGGAACAATCTTTCCTTTCGCAGGGCCCGAGCTTGGAGCAAGGGACTGGGAAACCTTTAAAACATTGCGTTGTATGCCGACAACTCAAAAAAACTGGTGTAGGTCAATTTTAAATTCCATATTTTAAAATAAGTTCTCTCAATTAAAATAATGTTCGGTTTATTTCCAAATTTTGAACCAAAGCTTCGGTAAACATCAAAGCTTTCATTGCGAAAAATTTTTGGCGAAGTGAAATAACATGCACCCTGTTAAATGCGGTTTAAATAATATGCACCCTGCTAAATGGGGCTTTAAACCTTGCTGATTGGAGACTTCAATATTGTTTCGATATGAACTTGATAATCAATCCGATTGGCATGATTCAAATGAATAGCCGAAAATGATTGGATTTATCAAAATTTGAACATGATCTTGGAAATAAACATGAAAGTAATAGATAAATTGGCAGAATTTATTTTGAAATGTGGAATGGAAACTGGTTGTGGAAACTGGAATGGAAACTAGAAAAAATTGATATAATCTAGGCTGTATTCAAATACCAATCAATTTGAAGTAAAAATTATATGATTTTTCGAACCATCTAAAGTTTGTCAATTTTTTTTGATTTGTCGCCATACAACGCAATGTTTTACGTGTTTGTCAGCCCCTAAATTCAACCTAGCGTCCCGCCAAAGGAACGATCGTTGCGGGATTAAACTGCTTTTGATAGATTTTTTTTTCAATTGCGAGTCAAGGCAAATGTTTTTTACGACTTCGGGAGGCTGCTAAGAGACGTCTTTTCTCAAGAAAAATCAACGAACCAAAATTTTTTTTCACTGTCAAATCTCATTTACTTTACCCACTTTTGGATCATTTTGTCCACTGTCAAAACTTTTGAAAAATCTGAATAGTTAGGATCTTTCGAAATTTCTGGTTGCTTGGGAGACTGATAAAACCTGCTCTCGTTCCCTGCGCTCTTTTTTTGCAGTTGGAATTAAGTTTTATTTAGTTGGTAGGGCTAGTCGAATGTCCATTTTTTTGGTACGTGGTGATTAAAGGTTGCAAATGCGACGGTTCGGGTATTACTATTGCTCAGACCCTTGATGTTTTGCAAACTAGTCGAGCAGAGCATCAGGTTTTCCCGTGTAAATCTCATGATTATGTTCACCTGTCGTTTCATTAAACTTTTCTCCATTCGTAATTGAGTGCTGTGGTTGGGCATTTATGAGTTTGATATTTTGAGCAGTTCCAGTTCAAAGATTTTGTTTTTGTTTTAAGATAGTAATTGCGTATTTGCTTGTCTTTGTTAGCACGGAATTGTATAACAATAGTTAAAGAGTAAGCATTGTTTTTTTAAAACTTTCAAACGTCTTTTGTTGCCTTCAATTTGTCTATTTGACAGATGACAGATTATTTTTTTAGCTAATCAAAATGCAATTTTTGTTGAGTGATTTAAATGCATCAAACGAATTAAGAAAAGCTTTTCTGGAGTTAATTAGTGCATTTAATGGAATATTACTATGGTTTTAGAGGGACTTGATTTGAAAAAAATATCGGTTTTAAAAGGGGGTTAAATGTGGGGTTATCTTGTTACGGGGTTATAAAATAGGGGATGTGAACATAGAGGGATAAATAACGTGGGGTTGAAGAATGAGACTGTATAATATATCAAAATTTAGTGTTTCGAGGAGTTTTTATATGCACGCCAAAAGCGAGATCAGGCGATAAATGGAAAGTTCTTGTTTTTTTTTCTCCATCTTTATAAAGGGGGTATTAAGGTTCTCGTTTTACATAAGGTAGGTTGGATATATTTTTTGAGATTATGAAGACAAGTGTTAATGAAAAAGCTAAGTCTTTTTGCAAGTTTTTTGAGAAGTTTTTTCTTTGCTGAGTTTTGTTCGTATCCCTCGTAACGCAAGCCAGCGTAGATAGTTCTATAGAATGGGATTGATGCAATCTTTGCACAATTCTTTTAATTCGCTACTTATCTCACTCTTACCTGAAGCAATATCCCTTACCATTTCAACCTCAGGGAGTCTAGCTTTTAAATGTCGGCAGATGTTAGGAATTCAGTCTTTAGGCAATGTACGATTAATAAAATACGAAGGGAGATAGTTTTCAGTGAATTAGCTAAGTCTTGTCCTCTTAGGGGTGAGTCAAAGTTATTAAAGTGGGGCGACCGTGAGTTGTCGATCGCGTCGTGCCAAATAACAAACTCCTCCGTTGGTTCCGCATCGCTGATGTGGGTGAAGTTTGATTTCTTCGCTTTTGGTGTCCTATTATGACAATTAAGGCCGGGTAGGATGTAGAAATTAAAGAAGCCCTGGTTTCACAGCTGTCTCAATGCGGTCTGCCTGAGTAATGATTGCTCAATTAGAGAACATGCATCCACGGCTGCCCTTAACTCATTTAATCTTAAAAGACATTATTTAATAAGTTTATCACAACAGTGGGGCTATCGAAATATCTTAAAATATCCTACCCTAGGTTCAGAGTGAAAAAAGATTTTTATCACAATATTACAGTCCTAGCTCTAGTAATCAAAAACAACTTGACACCCAAAGCTTTCGGGGCGAGTCCTAGGACTCACAATTGCAGTTTCGGCTTTCAAGACGCCTGTGGTTATGGTATGGGTGGGAAGGTAATAGTCAAATCAACGTGAGTGCTATATTATTTGAGACTGGGGGCTATAATAAGAAAATCTATTGGGAAATGATGGAGGGAGTTGAAGTTTCTTTCTTAAAATGAACCCACTTATGTGTTTTCTGTTCGTTTCAGATAGTAACTGGAGGCAAGACAGGCTAACTAAGATCGCGGGAGCCTTGTGTGGTCTCTGCCTATATGATAGATTACACACTATATGAGTGACGAGATCCTTCTTGAACTGAACATTATTGTTTTGAACTGAACTTACTGAATTCTTTTGATTATACTTTCGAACTTTGAACTGCACCTGAGTTTTTCCAACCAAGTTTTGACTCAAACTGATACAATGCCAGTCAAATCATCATTGCCAACTAGTATTACGAGGGTTAGTATCTCATATTTGCTTGCGAACATCTCACTTAAACGGCTTTTTATCCGCTCACCTCTCCCCTAAGTTTTTTCTAGTTTTTGCGTTACTATATACCCAAACATTGCTAATCTTTTTTTTTTTTTACAAAACTGGAGCCGATTTTTGCAATCAACTCTTTTCTCGACTATTTTTGACTCCCACTCCTCACCTAATTTTCAAAGTGGGATGGAAAAAAATCCCTTTTGTTGTCTCTACACCCCCTCCCACTCGAATAGAGAAACATTTTTTTCGATGCAATCAATGGTTTTGAAAAATTTTCTATAGAAGATTTGGGTACTTATTTATTTACATGAGAAATTTAGATGAAACATTGTCGTATGGTTGCCGAAATTGGTATATGGACTAATTAGGTTATTTATAACAAATCTTCATATTTAACTTTGTAGTACTAACAATCCAATACTACTGGAGAGTTGAACTGTACCTCTTGATACTGAACAGTAGTTTCGTATTTTTATTGGCTCTAAATTTTTTGGTATATCTCGTATAGACTAAGTATGCAGGCATCCTTTATATTCCGTGCAGTAAAGTTGACTTCTTATTTTTCGCAGAATTACCAAACTTGAATTTGTTTCTTGTGTCAAATTTCACGTGCTCTTTCCGTCAAGCATGAACAGAAGTCCAAGATCGCGCGATTGTAAAAGTCAATCATTTAGCTTCATTTCCCGCTTGCAAAAAGGAGACCTAAATTAAAACAGAAAATTCTTCAATTTAAACGGACAAAAACTTAGATTCATTAGAAAATCATAACAAACGGAGATAAATAGATAGATAGTTACTACTGGAAGCAGACATAATTTCGAGTAAAGCAAAGAAAAAATTCGACCCAAATTGCTGAAATGCCTATTGCGACTGTAAGTACTGAAAAATTGCATATTTTTTTTTGCTAAAATTTTGGCTCTGACTTTAAAGTGGAGCTAAACTTAATAGTTTTTGAACATAGACGTTCTAATTTGCAGTCAGTGTGTTCATATTAATTGTTATTTTAGCAATATTGTTGTGTTTTAGTCGGGGCCTCAAGTTCAAGTGTTGAGCCCACCTCAAAACATGAGGCGGAACTTGCATGCGATCGCAGCTTCGGCTCCCATCAATGGGACGACATCGCCGGCCGCCGCACATATTTTGAACTACGGAATTCAAAGCAACCAAACTACCAATCCATACTTGCACTTTTCTCCGCCTCCCAACGGAGCCGGAAGCTACCCCGACCTAGAGGTGCTCTACTCGCCAAACAACACTATGCCTCCGAGACGAGAAACAGGAATTATCGAGAAATTGCTGCAGAACTTTGGTTTTGTTCAATGCTGTGACAGGCAAGCTCGGTTGTTTTTCCACTTCAGTCAGTACTCGGGGAATATTGATGACTTGAAGAATGGAGACGAAGTAGAGTTCGAGGCAGGCCTGGATCGCCGAACGGGGAAGCCGATTGCATTGAATATTCAGAAACACGCACGGATTCCATCGGAGATCATCAGCGACAAGCGATACGTGGGAGACGTCACGTATGCACCCAAGCACAATACAATTATTAAACCTGTGAGTGGTGATTTGATTGAATACGGGCAAGAGTTTGCAATCATTCCAATCAGCAGCTGCACAAATTACAAAAAAAAACGCTTTTCAGATTATTACCTACCCCAGCCCAGAAACAAAAAACAAGAAAGGTCTTTCCTAATACCCCCCGTAGTAACAAAAAATTATAGCAATTAAAATAGATACGTTTATTATGATGGCTATGATTTGCTGGGAAAGACCAAAAATTTCTACGAACTCCCACCATCTCTACGCCCCCAGCTAAATACAGCCCCACCATAATACTAAAATCATTATGCGGGGCTCTAAACTTGGTTCTAGGCTAGAAAACTATAAATAGAAAAAGCGGGAACAAAAGGTAAAAATGATTTCCTAATTTATTGCTGTTTTCAGGGATCAAGTCCTCAGACAGAGCTTGGCCGATTGTCTTACGAAAACAAAGGAGTGAGTTTTCCTGTTCGGATCTTTTTTAGTACATTTAATGTTGTACCTGTCAATGAATTAGTTCTGTTTCTAGGAGTGGTATTTCCTTTCGTTCACGCCATTGGACGTGAGTGGGGATCTTACTGCACTGAAACAAGGAGACAAAGTTTCATTCCGTATTGCAACTGATCAAAGGTATTGGATCTTTTCCAACTTTCCTCGTCCATCTTTCCTCCAAGTTTTCTTTTTCATTTTGCAAAAAAAAGCCTAAGAGAGACTCACCCAAGAAAGGTTAGAGAAATACCCGAAATATGGAATAATGAAAATCTCAAGTGACCCGAAAAGTACTCTGGCATGTTATAAGCTTTTCTTAAATCTGTCCAGGCTGACATCTTTTATTGCAGCTTAGAACATCAAAAGGTCGTAAGCATTCTTAGATAGGCGTTGACGTTCGTAAATGCAATTTCAATTTTTATAAACATCCAACGTTGTCATAAATCATTGAAACTTGGCACGGTGAACAAACTAATAATTTGAATCATTCTGAAGATATTTGTTCTTTGGCTCTTTTCCAGTCCCCCCACTTTCAAATTCAATTTTGAAAAGCTTAATTAACATTGTCATAATGCAATGAAATTTGGCATGGTGAACAAATCGTCAACTGTGAACACATTTGTTCTTCATACTTTACAGCGTAACATCACGCATTTAGCCGTAATAACACGTAAAATAAACATAAAATTCGGTATTTTGAAGGGGGAACTGGAAAAGAGCCTGTTCTTCTTACTTTATATCACAAAAATTATGGGGGCGGGCTGAGTCGAAAACGACCGTTTTTAAGGCTACACATGAATACTAGTTGTTTCCTAAATTGCGAGATTAAATGTCTCAGATGGACTTTCGTTTGGAAAGTCAAAATAAGTTTGAGTTTGAGCAGGACCAACAGCATGAAGGCGCGTGATGTTCGTTTGGAGGAGTCGGCTGCCGCACCCAGACATCAAGGAGTTGTCTGTTCTCTGAAAGACAACTTCGGATTCATAGAGAGGGCTGACTGTGTCAAGGAGATCTTCTTTCACTTCAGTGAGTTCATGGGCGAAGTGAGCAACGTCAATGTGGGAGACGACGTCGAGTTCGAGATACATACCAGAAATGTAAGTCAGAAAAGAAAAATTTTTTTTTTGCAAGAGAAGCCCCCCCCCCCCCCAGTTACATAGTCTTTTCCATCTATTTCTCTTCTTTGGTTGAGCTGGATTTTGTTCTTTCATCGGCAATTTAATTGATCTTATTTGTGCTGACGACTGATTGGCTTGATTATTGATCTAATGTTTGATTGTGTGATTATGTCTCACGATATTGCTCTTTTTTCTCCCCTCACATAAGCATCAAATTTAAGAGATAGCGAGAGGTTTTACAAGGTGAATCATGAAGGTCAAATATGTTTGTAATGGCTTGATAATTAGTCCGCATGCCAGTTTTTGTAACAATCGGACATAATGCACAAATTGTTTGTAAAATAACACTGGCGGGACGCATTTGCAGGTTGCAAATAGAATTCGGAAATTTTTGATCATTTCTCATCTATTTAAGCACCAATGAACGAAGTCAAGACAGTTTTGTAATGTTTAAATAAAAAGCAATAAAAAAATCGAAAGTATTCTCCTGTTTCTCTTCTTTTTCTGTACGTTTTTCGGTTTCCGGGGTAGATTTCGGATGTGCTTGGATTGTTATCATTAAAGAGTCGATGAACGTATAGACTCTTAATAGTTCGAGATAATTTTTTTCAGGCTCATATTTATTTTTTCGGGGTTTGACTTTTGATTTTAAGTTCAATTCATTTCATTTGCCGACCAATTAAAAATTTATCTTTTATTCAGTTTTCTCAAATTGTTTTTTAATGTCAATGATGATTTTCTAGAAATTTAAAAAGCTTTAATGCCGGCTTTGTATTGGTGATTTTTTTTGTTTAATAATGGAGTATTGGGTAAACAATTTCGAAATGAAATTGCTTGCACTTTCATTGAAACTTGTAATTGGTTCTTCAGCCCATGAATATCCTTGAGTGACCTTTGTTCAGAAAACCTGAGTGAAAGGGGGTTGAGCCCGGTGTTTTGTAGTTCAATTGTAGTAATGGCCTTAGAATTTTTTGGAACTACAAGCGCGCGATGCCATCTGAGTCGGTAAAAATCCAACACTCGACCTAGTGACCTGATCCTTCGTGGTGTATTTTCCTCAAGTATCCACACGAGGGCAGGTGTTTCGAGTGGATCCTTTTAGTACATTTATTCCTTTTTGATGAGAGTTGAGACGCCTCCAGAAGCTGTTTAGTATTTCTTCTCTTTATCTCGCTTCCATGACATTAGACAGTTTGTATGTATGTAGGTGCTTCAATGAGGGCTGCTGCGAGAGAATTAGACCAAAGGACGCCTCATTAGAAATAGTCAGCGGAGAGTAGTGGTCGTTAACGCTGCTGGCATGAGTTAGTGGACGCGAGTTGAATTTTGCCTCCGTTTCGGCTACAAGAATAGCGAACAGGTCGCTAGACAGTTGTTCGGGACCGAGTTCAAGTTGAGATGCTGTTATTTAAAAAAAAACAGGTCGCTTCCACTCACCATGAAAGTGAAGGGGTGGAAGGAGGATTAGGGCGCCAATCAACGTTGTGTATTGTAGCTGTGCAATTAGCACGATTGTATTGAAGCTGATTTGTTGCGAATTTAGTTGCTGATGGGCGCCGACAATTAAGCTCAAAATTTCAGTTAGTAGTTTTGGTCGAATTTCTGTCATGCAGTTGTCTCTGGTAAGGCTGTCCGAAGCTTTGAGGTGTACTGCACGTGAAAAAGAGAGGTGAATAAACATCTGTAATTCTTTTTAGTAGCCTTTGTAGCAATGAATAATGGCCTCAAGTAGTCGATTTCATTGTTTTTGAGAGGAAAAGGATCATCAGTTGAGTCATCCGAGCGTGTTGATGTCAACGCAGCCGTTGATGTTATGGGAGCGCGTTGGTGTCATGGTTGAAACAGAAAAGGCAATACTGTCGAAGTTTTTTTCTTAAGTCTATTAATTACAAATTTTACTTGCAAATAACTCGTGCTCATTGCTATGGTGCATGCAGAGTCGATGAGCGTTAACAATCAGCATGCGAACGTTAAGCTCTTTTCCTTCAAGTGTTATTGGATGTTTTGTTGCGTCTGGAAAAGGAGAGTTAAGTAATCGTCCTTTTGCTCGAATCAAATCATAGTCCAGTAAAGGTGTGGTGCAAATTCATCTTTGCTGTCAACTTGCTGCTTCTTTGAAATTACTTCTAGGCTTACACAAAAGTACTCTGTTGGGGTTATTGGTAAACAAGGGTTTCCGTTTTCTCCATTTCCTCCATAGTAGTCAAACGTATTGCTTCTGTTTTCAAAATAACAATAAGAAATGAAAGCCTGGGGAGTCACCCGTGGGAGTTTATGTCAGCCGGAAAAGCTTGAGGAATTGATTAGTTGAGTAGTTGAGTGCTCTTGTTTGACAGATGCAGAGTTCCTAATTAACCTCGTGTTTAAGTAGAATTTCTGTCTGAAATTAGTTGACCAGGTTTCTGTGTTCAATTCTACAAAGCGTTAATATCATGGGTCTTTCCCATTATAGCCCCACCAGCCTAGTATCAAAAAAATCATAGCCCCAACAAACCTTGCCCATTATGACCCCCAAACTTTTCTATTACAGCCCCCCAAAGGTTTCTAATTATACTAATAGACAGATCAAATAAATAATTTCAATGTTTACATTTAAGTATGGTTACATTGTGTATGTGATTTCAACCGTTTGATTACACATTTGCATCACTAATATGTTTGTGGAAATGGCCATCATTTCTCATTATTTCTTCGAAAACTTACACTTTTTTGTTTTTGCCTTATTTGCGTTACAAGAATTCCGCTAGGTAAGAATCAATTATATTTCTTTCAGTTTCCCTACATTTTTTTGTTTTTTGCTTTTGCATCTCGCGAAAGACTTTCATTTGTTTGGTTATAAACTCCAGTTATCGGATCCACAGTATGATTTACCGTTTGGTGCGTATATTCAATGCTTTTGTTCAGTACATTACACGCAGACCACATATCTGACAATATAGTTGAACCACTTCGAATATATTTTTTAATACAATCCATGAGTGCCTCTGAATTTCTGTTTGGAACTTGACAAACAAGTACATCCTTCGTCTCCTGGAAGATTCCACCAAACACTTATTGTTGCGGATAAACACGACCATTGTTAGATTTACTTTCGTCTTTTTCGAAGGTCATATTAAGTCCAGCTATTTGTACAGAATTCTCAATAAGTTTCCAAGTGCAAACTTGTCGCATATAGTGGCTGAAGACTACCACTGTGTTTTTTGACATGTCGAATTGAATCGTGCAGTATTTAATAGTTGCGACATCAGTTGCTCAAGCATAAAGTAGAACAGTTTTTTGTCCAAAGTTTCATACTGCCAGCCGACCAGGTGTTTGTTTTAATGCTCACTTCAGACCGACAACTTCTTAACTTACACCTTCATCTGTCTGGTTTGCATTTCGGATCTTCTGAGATGCAAAAATTCATGGAATGACTCGAAGCACAATTCGTTTCCTGAGGAACAACATCATACTCTTGGAAGTCCATTTTTTTCCCATTTATGTTTTGTGATGTACATTTTTGACTAAATTTTTGACAAAATTTTGGACAAAATTTTAGACTAAATTTATAATTTCCATTAAAACAAATTTCAGTTTATATAGTAGTATAAATCAGCACGGATAGTGTGTGTATAATTGGAACGTTCGGGGAGGATATAATGAAAAAGTTTGGGGGGGCTATAATGGGAAAGACCCATTATCACAATGACTCGGTTGGCGCCTTAAGTTTGTAATGGGTGATGTAATCGCGGGTCTCCTTGTAGTGCTCTGTATCCATTAATAGATGGATTGTTTGATCAGTCGTTTTTCATCCGTGGCAAAATTGCCCTAACGTGCATCCATAAATGGCAGCTTGTAATTCCAGTTTTGGGTTATTTACTTGCTTCAATGGGGCTACCTTTGTTCCCGAGTGGCCTGTAGTGCTGAAGTAGCCATGGTGTCTTAAGACGCGTGACAGAAAAGATTCAGTTGAAGTCAGCAGGTTGCAAGTAAGGGCATCAAAAGCTATTAAGTCCCACAGGGGTTTTTGTTTTCATTAATCGACCCATTTGGCGATTAGTGGAGAAAAACAAAATCACTGAGAATAGGTTCGTCCTCGGCAATTCCAGAAACTGGGGGATAATCTAGTTTAATGACGAAAGATGCTAGGATACCCAGTCGCTCAAATTTTCTTGCCATGGTAGACAGTGCTTAAGCATCAGTAGAGTGTTCACCTCGAGCTAACGAGTGGATGACATTACCCCAGTCTGTCTAATAAGCGGTCATTGGGCTTGGTTATAGAGAAAGCAGCAGCTATTTTTGCCTGGAGTTTGAGTTAAATCGGTTGTGATGGTTGTCAGTTTGTTGTTTTGTTGCTTGGTTATTTCGTCGTGCTTGGTGGTAAGTCCAGTTTTGCGCATGCCCATGAGTAATTGTTAAGATACTGCGTAAACCTTCGATTGTTGCGTATTCGAGTTTGTGCAGCACGCAGTGTTTTGCTTACTTCATAACTAAACTCACTGGGAGCTTTGATGAGCAAGTCGAGTCAAGTTACTGAAGTTGAGGTCAGATGCTAAGCCGTTGATTTCGAAGGGCAACGTTTTTGAAGAAGGCTTGCGGTTTGCTTATCAATTTCCTGGAGTTTGAGTTAAATCGGTTGTGATGGTTGTCAGTTTGTTGTTTTGTTGCTTGGTTATTTCGTCGTGCTTGGTGGTAAGTCCAGTTTTGCGCATGCCCATGAGTAATTGTTAAGATACTGCGTAAACCTTCGATTGTTGCGTATTCGAGTTTGTGCAGCACGCAGTGTTTTGCTTACTTCATAACTAAACTCACTGGGAGCTTTGATGAGCAAGTCGAGTCAAGTTACTGAAGTTGAGGTCAGATGCTAAGCCGTTGATTTCGAAGGGCAACGTTTTTGAAGAAGGCTTGCGGTTTGCTTATCAATTTGACAAATCATTCTCGATTGAAAGCTGTCACCACATATTTTGAGTTACCGTGTCCACGCAATAGCTGGAGGGTTGCCTGTTCATACTGAGAAGGTTCCGTAGCTCTCTATCATTGAATTCTCCTTATCAGAAAAAAAAATGATTGTTCCTAGGTAACTTCATCAACAGGGCTTAGACGTGGGTTGTTGCTTGGACAGTCTGAAAGAGTTCGAACCATTTGTTGCACTTCAGCGGGTTGCCGTCAAAATTTTGCAGTTTTTTTCTCCGGTTGCTTGAAATTTTTGAGACTGCATTTGCTGCTAGTAGTCGATTGATTGGTAGCGTAGTTGCAGCTTTGTCCTTGATGACATCCAAATATCTTGTCGCATTGTTGATCTTGTCGGCTTCTATGGTGGTCATGCTAGTTGTTAGCATCGTAATGTTCAATTGTCGCATTGTTGATCTTGTCGGCTTCTATGGTGGTCATGCTAGTTGTTAGCATCGTAATGTTCAATTGTAGAAACAGAGGACTTTTCGCGAATGTAGAGCTCTAGTTATAAACGCTACTAACATTAGATGCTGGTAGATGCGAGAAGTTGTATAGCAGATGCGCGCTTAAGTTGATTTTACCCAAGTTTGCAGTAGGCGGGACCGGTCTGAAATCAATTTCAGTAGTGGCGATAACACCGTAGATTGCCTGATTTGTAGTTCAGTCAGTTCCAAGTGGTGTAGCGTTGATAAGCATCTGAGTCAAACGTATTCAAGCCATAGGTAGACGTGTATGTAGAGAAGTCGGCAGCGGTAATACTTGTCCTGACTTCGAGAAAATTCCTTGCTACTGAAGGGGGGTCTGATTTGCCGCAGACTTTGTTTATTTCAGAGTTTGTTCGCCAGCATTTAAGAATTAGTGTTGAATTAAAGGTTTAATTGTCTCTTTGTTGGTTACCGTTCAATGCAGACGTATAATTAATATTGTGAACAATTGGTTACGGCATAAACAAATTCAATTTGAAATGATTGAACTTTCCTTTGAACTCGTGATTTTAACATGTCGTGAGTAGTTGAGATTCGATGAACGTAGTGTGGTTATTTTTCCAGGAAAAGGCCAAAAATTTGTTCATGTTCAACTTTTTCGCGGTTTAACTTTAGGTCACGAAACTTTTTCGATTACTTGAGTTTATTGACTCTTTTCCAACTGTCTGCTGGCTCTGCCTATGTTCAGTATGCGCGACGCCTTTCGAATCGTTACAGGTTTCTTGTCCTGGTATCAACTCTATCGGAGCCAGTGTGTAGGTTGTTAGCTTAGGTGTATAAACTTCGTTGAGCAAAAATTGTCTGTATTGGAACGCCACGCTAATCGTTTAAGTGTTACCTGTCGTGTTATTTAGGGCAAAGAAGTGGCCACCTCTGTGTATGCTCTGCCTGCGGGCACTGTGCAATTTGAGGATGTGCGTCCGGAGATGAGGAGAGGAACAATAGTGAAGCCGATCCCGCGAGCGCCGGGTAAGAAGCCCAACCCAGACGATCCACTTCCCGCAAGACTCAAGTACAAGGACGAGATCGAAGGGTAGGTCAAGTCAATAGCAATGTTTATAATGATTTTTCCGCTGGTGATTTTCTCGCTAATTTGATATCTAAACAAGGCTCTAAATCAAGAGAAGGCTTAGAAAGCCAAATTTGAGTTGAGTTCCTGTTTGACAAAAACAGGTATTATGAAAATGCATGGGATTAGGCTTTTTCTGTTATTATTTTTTGACGCTTCTCACAAACTACTCTACTGATTTGCGAAAAAGTGGTACCAACGGAAAGGGCGGCCACTCCCCTGTGTGCCTGCATAAACGAAAAGGGCGGCCAATCTCCACTAGTCTCTTTTTACATTACCCCACTTTCTACAGCCTTCGAAAAAATGTGGCGCTGTAATTCTTGACCCATATTTATGATTTTTTCAAAAAAATTTTCTCTAATTACCGTCCTAAATCTGAGATAAAAAAAGAAAAAGCTATCAATTTTTGCTTTTCCTTTTGTTTTACAAGATTATAATTTGCAGAGAATGTGAGATTGTATTTGGCGAGAGAGATCAGAACGGAGAGTACACTCTGCTGATTGGTGACCACGTGACGTTCAATCTAGCCATTGACAAACGAGACAGTTTGAAAAGGGCGACTAATGTGACGTTACTGGAGGAGAGTCTTCGCTCCAGTGGTGAGAAGAGGGAGAGAGGCACCATCGCTACTCTTAAGGACGGATTCGGATTCGTCAACTGCTATGACAAGGGAACTCGTCTTTTCTTCCACTTCAGCGAAGTACTCGACCAGGTACGATGTGGTTGTTAGTTGTAGTTCACCTTAAATAAATAACACGCGTATTTACGCTAGCGAGAAGCTAGTGTTTTAGTACGAACCTTCTTTTTTCTATTGACTAAAAATGTTCACTTTTGTGCTTTTTTGCCTTTTGATCATAACTTTTTTCCAACTGTCAGTTGGCTATGTTTGAGATAGTTCAATTCTTTCGTTGAAAGGAAGGGAAACTCAACTTTTGAACAGCAAAAATGTAACGGTCACGAAAAACGTGATCGAATTCTAGTTTCGAAAGTGGATTTTAAGATGCAGATTTCCCAGTGGAATTGAAAAATTAACCTTTTATGCAGTTTTCTCAAGTTGAGTTAATTTTATCGAAAAGATCCGTTAATAAATTGTTCGTGAAATTCAAAGAGCTATAAGGACATTTTTTAAACTCAAAATTCGAGAAAGTTGAATTTATAAAAAAAATAACAAATCAGGTTTTTCAGTTTCCTTGCGTTGCTTACTCTTTTCCAATTCAGTTGGCTATGTTTTGTGTACGTTTTTTTCAGAAAAAGTTTTAAAATGATCTAATAACAAAAGAAGTGGGCTCTTTTTCCTTCCCCCACCTCACATAAGCGTCAATTTTATGGTGTAGCGACGGGTTTTACAAGGTTAATCATGAAGACCATGGCCTAAATAGTTCGCATACCAATTTTCATAACATTCGGATAACGTGAACAAAATTTTACTTGTAAAATTTTGCACGTGGGGGGGGGGGGGGGAAGGAAAAAGAGCCAAGAAGTTTTTTCATATTATAAATGCACATATGAATGTCTTTAGGTATATAAGCACTTTTGAGCTTTTGTTAGAAGTAGGCAAAATGCGCTCTCCATTTATGAAAGCTGAAATTGCGCGAAAAAAAACGTGATCGGTTTGGTGTTTCGAAAGTCAAAATTAATTTACAGATTTCCTAATGGAAAGAAAATTTTTCCTAATGATTCAGTTTCCTCACTTTAGAGGTAATTTAATCAAAAACTGCCAACTGTGACTTCAAAGAGCTTTATTTATGGCCAAATGTTTTTTGTTTGAAAATCGAAGGTTTTCTAGAAAATTCGGTTGATTTAATTTTATCAAAAAGATCCGTTAATAAATTGTTCGTGGAAATCAAAGAGCTATAAGGGCATATTTTTTTAACATAAATTTTGAGAAAGTTGAATTTATTGAAAAAAAATTCAGTAATTTTTCCGTTTCCTTGCGTTGCTTACTCTTTTTCCGCTCAGCTGGCGATGTTTCGTTAACGTTTTTTTTCAGGAAAAGTTTCAAAATGCTCTAATAACAAAAGACGTGCTTTCATACATATAAATGCACATATGAATGTCTTTAGGTATATATGCATTTTTGAGCATTTGGTGAAAGCTAAAATTGCGCGAAAAAAATGTGATCGATTTGGTGTTTCGAAAGTGAAAAATAATATAAAGATTCCTAGTGGAATGAAAATTTTTCCTCATGATTCAGTTTCCTCACCTTGGGAGTAATTGAAGCAAAAAATGACAACTGTGACTTCAAAGGGCTTAATGGCCATATATTTTATAAAAAAGGTGAAAGATTTCTAGTTTTTTAAGGACTTACATTTCTCGAATTTCACAGCAGAAAAAAAATTACATTGATCCAGTTTTCTCTATTTTAACGAAAACGCAAAGCATAAAAATATGACAAAGAGCTACAATGTGATATGTTTTTTTAAAATTGAAAGTTCAAAAATTTCAAATCAATTTTGTTTCCAGTTTGTTCTTTTACACTTTTCCAACTGTCTGTTGGCTATTTTCAAAGGTTCTCAATCTTTCAACGCACTATTTCCTAACCTGCGTCTTTCAACCCCAGATTAAGATAACCCCTTGCAATTTATCCCCTTCTTATAATTGTTCGACTCAAATTGGAACTGGCTTGAAAGTGATACGGAATCATATCGTCGGTAAACATCAATGCTTTAATTGAGAGAAATTTTGCGAAACAATGAGGTAACATACACGCTGCTCAATGTTGTTTAGATTTGACCATAATTGATCTTGAAAGTATTCTTGCATGATTTTGAAAGTATTCTTGCTAATAATACATTAATTCCCGGAGTTCGAATGAAATATGGAATGGATACTGGTTGTGATCAAAATAGCAATCATAAAAGATTCTGGAAATTTAAAGAGCTTTAAGGTGATCTTTTTTGACACTTTTCAAACGCTATGGTGGCTATCTATTAAGAATAATCATATGGTTTTTGTGAGTTCACTGACGCTTGTACAGTTTTGGTTGGTTGTGTTGATTTTAAATTAGTCAGCCCTACAAATTACGCAGAGCTCGTATATATTCCTTGCATTTTTCTCTTAAATGGTAAATATCTATTGATTCCCTGAATTAAAACTATTATTCCAGAAAGGGTACATCAAACTGAATTGTGAAGTGGAATTCTCAATCATCACGACTGACTCACCAGACAAGCAAAACGCAGTGCGCATCAAGATCCTGGGTCCAGGTAACCAAAAGAAGACGAACAGGTCAGGCAGTGCTTCTGGTTTAGCCTCATTGTCAATGGGTGGAAAGGGTTCTTCTGCGTCCAACTCTCCTCTCCTGATACATACCAACTCATCACAGCTCTCTGCCAGTCCACTCACTGCCCAGAGTCCAATTACGGTCGCCACGTTAGGTGTGATAGAGCTAATGTAGTTAATTGATGTTAATCGACTAGGATTCACTTGTATTTCATCAACAAGATGTAAGCCTTAAGAAGGCAGCGGCGAGTCACTAAGAATACGATCATTGATGATAAGCATTAAGATTAAAACTGTGAAAGAACCTGTTAATTGGTGGTAGTCCGTATCATGACCCCCGCAACCTCTACATCCGTTCTTAAAGAATAGTTCAAAGGTTGTACATATACATATTCAAACTAGTAATTCAAGGAAGTTGTTTGTTAAAAATAAGTTTTAAAATAAGAAACTAATTTTGACCAAACAGTAACGAAGTGAAAAAAATTGTTTATATTGTTAGCTGACGGAGAGACTGTGACTAAGACACGTGGCTTTGTCTCGTGCATCCTTCGCAACCATGGCTACTTAGAGAGCGAGGACCACAAGAACGAGTTCTATTTCCAGACGAGTGCAGTTATGCTTCCTGTCGATGGATCCAGCATGAGTCTGGAGGTAGGAGACGAAGTGCAGTTCCTCCTCAGGACCACAGGTGAAAAGTCCATTGCCGACAACATCTCACTCTTGGAAAGGAAGACCATACAGTCAATGGTATGTACTGTCGACTTTTTAAAAGTCGATGAATATAGTGAAGACCGTTATTTAGTTCAAAAAAGCTTTTTCACGCTATGTTTCGGTTTTGACTTTTGATTTCAAAGTTAATTCAAAGTCATTTGCTAAATGGAAGGCGCAGTGCACTGTCTAACCGAGGAGGGTGAAAGATTTTCGAGGGCGGGCTCTCAAACCATTTTCGATAACTTCATCGACCTTTTTTTGGGTCGACCAGATTGATTTCCATAACGTCCCTATTTTGACTAAATTTGCTGCGCTGTAAGCTAAAAATGCCGTTTTTATAGCCTGCGCTGCAAGCCGAAAGTGCCCGTCCCTCAAAATAAATTTAGATTGGCGCCAAAGATGGGTTGGTCGTTGAAAATTGTCAAAAAATAGTAGCCAAGGCCTGTGTTTCTTTTTAAATTCAGTTCATTTTTTTTGTTTAAAGGAATGCAAACGGCTCTATCGAGCAGCAAAAAGGTCACGAAAATTGATCGAATTTTAATTTTGAAAATGGAAATTAATTATTACGCTTGCAATTAGCAAGCGTTATCAAACTGTAATATAGACTTTCTTCGGGTAAACAACTTGTTTAACAGAATCACATAATCAATTGGTATCTTGGTTCATGATGAATTCACATTTCTAAGCGTCTCCGGCACACTTAGTCTGGAGGTAACGAATAGGCCTGTGACACCAAAGGTCATGGGTTTGAAACTGACCGGACCTGTTTTTTTTTTTCAAACGGTAAATAGTCCGTTTTCAAAAAAATTGCTGGCTTATTATTGTCTGCTGATGTTTTGTCGGCTTAGTTGCCCTATTGTTGATTTTTCTAAACTTTTTCTTAAATTATAGTTGCTTTTAGTGTTCTGATTAAACTCTGCTGTTTGTAATCTTACTGAAATTGACTTCCGTTCAAAAATTTTATTCTGTCCAAATGATTTCGGCATATTGTGTATCAGTGTAGTGACCTAATTTCGATTCGTTTCAGCAGAAACATGGTTTTAATGCTCACCTTTGGATCGCGCAAAATGCTAATTTTCTTAGAAGAAATATAGCCCAAGTTTTTCATGATAACAATTTTTTCCGGCTTTGGTTTTTCCTTTTTTGGATTGATAGGTTTCGGCCTATATAATATAGGCTTATTGGCCTCATGTTGCGTCTTTCGACAAGTGAAAAGGTTTTTTTTGTGTGTGGCTGTCTGTGTTTTGAGGTTGAGGGGGACTTGACGTCTTTTTAGTCCGATGCTTATTATACTTTCTTTTGTCTTGTCATATTTTTGTTTCAAAATTAGCCTTATTCATTTTAATAGATCTAGTTTTTTCGACCTTATCGATATTTATTTCATTTTTTTTTCTTTTGTATTGCAAGTGGCGCGGAGCTCAGCTTCGCCTCTGTGTCACAGCGAATTAAAAGTTTTACTTATTGATCCAATCTTCTCATTTTTTTTTTATTTTTAACAAAAAAAGTGTCCATCTTAAATTGTTCTACAAATTCAAACAGCTTGAAGGCTATCTATTTTTTTCTTTTAAATTCAAAAGTTAAGGTTTTTGAAAACAACAAGTCAAGTTTTTTTTTCGGTTTCCTTGCGTTCATTACTTTTTTCCAATATCATTTGGCTATGTTTAAGTTAGTTCAATTCATTTTGAACATTTAATTATTGAAAGGAAAAGAAATTCAAGTATTGAACAGCAGAAGGGCAAAGTTCACAAAAATTGTTATCGACTTCTAATTTCGAAAATGAAATATAATTTTCAGTTTTCCCAGCGTAACAAAAAAATCTACATATTGATCAAGTTTTCTCAAATAGGGTTACTTTTATCGAAAAATTGTATAGCGCTAATAAAAATTTCTACCTGCCAATTTAAGCCATGCATACTCTCCAGAAAGCAAAATAATTGATATAGCTATCATGAAGACAGATATATACTTTCAATTATACTGAATGTAATCGTTGTTGTACAGTACATATTAGAGAGGAATTCATTACAGTATGTATTAGGACAATGGACACACAAAATCTTCTTTTCAGACGCTTGACTCTGAAGCGTTGACTGGAGAAGTTGTGCGAGCCATCCGTTCATCTGCCGAAGACGTACAAGGTCTTATCAAGGAGAAGATTCAAGACCTGTTCACGGGCAGACAGTACAGATTCAGTGGATCCTCTTTCTGCCAGAAACCAATTCCAGTTCTGCAGGCCGGAGACTTGGTTGAGTTTCGAGTGGGAACTGTGACCAAAACGGGCGAGAAAAGAGCAGTTGAGGTCAAACCCAATAGAAGTAGGCTAAGGTCAAAGGTCACAGCTGTCAAGGGAGAGGTAAGATAACTGATTAAGCATTGTCGTTTAGGCTGTTCTTATTTTGTTTCTTCACATTAAATAACTAAAAAGTAGATTTGGGTTGAAATTGATAGTGTCTTGTAGGACAACGGCGTAGACTCAGGCGTTAGTAGTCAAATTTGTATCCGTTCATTTCTCACGTTTTCTTTTCTATCTACACTTTTATCTTACGAATGCTTAAACTCGTGCACGGTTCGTGCTTTACTCTGTGTAGTTTAATGCTGATAGCTCGTTGACGACTAAGTACGGGTTAAAAATGAATGGGTCATTTTTAAAGAGTAATGTACGTAGTGAAGACTCTTGTATAGGTCTTGCTGATTTTTTTTTGTTTTATTTATAGGAAAAAGTCTTAAAATATTGATGCACTTAGGTATAATGCACTTTTTGAGTTCAATTGAAATTCATCTGCTGAAAGTGACGTAAATAGCACTCTCCAAATACGAACGTGGAAATGGTGCGAAAAAACGGAATGGTGTTTCAAAAATGGAATTTGATTTTTAGATTTCCAGATGAGTAGCAGTTTTCATTAGTTGGGTTTATGTTATCAAAAAAGCGCCAATCATAATTTGTTCTAAAAATTCAAAGAGCTTAAAGAGCATCTATTTTTTTCTTCGAAATTCGAAAGTTTCGAGTTTTTTTCAAGAGTCTGTTTTCTTTATTTTATGTTTACTTGCGTTCATTACTCTTTTCTAATCTTCATTTGGCTTTGTTTTTTGTTGTGAAGCCATCTTCACGAGAAGCCAACGCATCAGTAATTTTAGGATATCTTGAAACATTGAAAACCATCAGCTCGATTTTAGTTTCAAGCTAAATTTGTCATTGTACAGTTTCTATCAAAAATCAGATGAAAATTCGCCAAACTGAAGTTATTTACTTAAGCTGATAACATGGAACCAAAGTTTCAGTAAATTTTTCAAACTTTGCATTGATACTAGTGGCTTGCATCAAAAAATATATAAAGTCTTATATATAATGTTTTTTCAGCGGAATAAAAACTTTACCTACTGATCCAGTTTTCTCAAATTGGGTTCATATTATCAAAAAAGAGCCAATCATAAATTGCTCTGGAAATTCAAAGGGCATCTATTTTTTTCTTTGAAATTCGAAAGTTGAGATTATTTCAAGAAAGTCAGTGTTTTTTTTTGTTTACTTGCGCTCATTACTCTTTTTCAATCTTCGATTAGCAATGTCATATACTTCTTTCGATGTTTGCTGAAATATGATTAAGAGTAATAAACGTCGTGAATACCTAAAATCGTCTTGGTAATTTTTTGTTTTTAGGAAAAGTCTTGAAATGCTTAATTATTAAAGCTGAAATGGCGAAAAAAAGTGATCGATTTCTGGTTTCGAAAGTGCAATTTAATTGTCAGATTTTGCAGCGGAATAAAAAGTTTGCAATGAAACATGTCACTATGATGAAATGAAAAAATTTGATTCCTTATTCTTACCTGTAAATTGTGGTATGAACTAGCAGCGGATTTAGGGGTCGGATGCCCCCCTCAGGGATTTGACCCCCTGCCGACCCTAAGGGTTTCCTGTTTGTAATATTTTGAGATATCCATTTTTCTAAAGGCGCTTTTGGCGCCAATTTGTTCTAATTTTGAGGGGGGGGGGGCGCACCAAAAAAAAACGCGCGTTTTTTAATCAACAATTTCCAAAAAGTGCCTAAACGCCTTTTTTGGCCTGTTTTTTGGTTTTTTTTGAAAAATTTTCGAAATAAGGCCTTCATAAGGATTTGGGAGAGCTCAGAAAATCAATTAGCTGGGCCTTAAAAAAGGGCGAAAAAAATTCGAATTTTTTTGAAATCCCTCCCTCCCTCGAGAAAATCCTAGATCCGCGCCTGGTATGAACATTGCAATTTAATGAATTTGAGGGGAACGGGAAACGAGACAAATATTGCGTGTTGTTGATTGCGGTCATTTGTTTCAGTTTGGTTTCATTGCGCATACGGCGGAGGGTGCAAATGACAACAAGCAGTTGTTCTTCCACCAGTCGGAGGTGGCTGACTACGTGCGTCTGAAGCCAGGCGATGAAGTGGAGTACGAAGTGGTGAAGAACCTGAAAACCAACAAGAGCTCCGCCACCAACGTCAAACGTATCAGGTATCATAAACGGCACTAAGTAGTCACAGACAGAAGTAATTAGAAGGAAAATTTGACAATTGCGTATATTCAGGTGACTTTGAGGTATACATTCAGTCTAAAAAACTAGCTTTTGTTGGCTATTTTTTTCAAATCGATTATTTGCGCTTTCGAATTAATTTCTGTGTAACATTTTGCAACTCTCTGTCGCTTTTGATGTTTGTATAGCGCGAATTTTTCAGTTCTGGGGTGAAAAAATGATGATTAATGGAATGTACACCATGAAATCGGTTATGCTGATGATATTAGCTGTTGTTGTTGTTGTAATTTGTGGAGTCTAGATCCTTAAAATTCAATCATTTTGTAGATGTTTATCGTATCATATAATTTGTTCCCGATGAGTAAAATGTGTTTTAGCACTGCTGCCAATGCAACTGTTGAGAAGTCTACCGACCGTCTTAGCCATCGAGTGAGAACCATCTCACTTAGTCGTAACGAGTCAAAAGTATCAATCATTCGGGAACCATACGTATCAGATGGAACCAGAGGCTTCCAGTTCCAGCGATCAATTCCCGCGCCTAGCGAGACAGTCAAGAAAGATGGCTCGAAAACTGAAGACGACGACGATGATCTGTTCGATTCCAACGAAGATGATCTCTGTGCGGAAGACGGAAGCGGAGACAACTATCACCAGGAAGAAAACGAAAAAGTGGGATCAACAATTCGTATCACGTCGGCAGGGCCTGCCGGCGAAGCAAGTGCCGTCGGAACGAATGCTACTGAGCCTACGAAGAAAGCGGTTGACTCTTGTGGTGACGCTTGAAAACATTGAATCATCGATCAGTTATCGCTTGCCCCTTACTTTCCTTTTTAGCCATTGGCTATTACTTTATTGACCTCTCGCATTCCAAATGTATTTTTTCGACTTGTTTCATAAGCTCAAAGCAATCTTTTGAAAGGTGCCATTTTAGAAAAAAAACTATTTATTGCCGCTAGATACATTTAGTTTTTTTTGCACGCTGGGTTGGATGCCCAAAAAGCTTCCCAAAATGTCAATCAGTGTTATCTTCAGTACTGGATTTAAAATTGTCCTGTTTTGTTGTTGTTTGTTCAGTTAATTTTGCTCTTTATTACTCGTGGCGGGAGTGAACGGAACGAAGTTGTTAAAGCAATTGGAAAATCAAAGTCGGAACTGGAACATTAAGTGTAATGCACAGAAATCGATCTCTAGTTAAATGGAAAACAAGTTAAAATAGTCGACTGATGTAGCTTAGCTCGAAGTCGCTACCTATTAGTTACATTAGAAATAAAAAATATTTGGACGTCTTATTATTTCCCAGAAAGTGCTCTTAAATTATCACAACTTTGTCGCAAACCTTACCATCAATTGACTTTTATTACTACGCTCAACTCAACTTTTACACAAAGCCGTACCTTTCCAATACTCCTTACCTACTTTTTTGACTCTTGCTAACCCTGTCGATTTTTATCAAGCGACTAAAACACAAAAAACCCCATTTCCTAGTATTATTGCTTAATATGGCTTTTATTATACTAGAAAACCAACTATAATTATGAAAGGAAAACCAAACTTCATTGTATTTGAAAACAAACTTACCAACTAAAAACTATTCATTAGTTCCAAACTTCATTTTTTCACCATGCTCTGTGATTAGGACAACAAAAAAAGTTTACTGCAAAAAACAACCAAAAATCAAAAAGCTTTCCATATTCATGTACATCTCTAAGTTATAATCGGCCTTAATCTTATTAAATCTGTTTCTTGTTACTCAACATTCGGGCTTATTCCTACCCTCTCTTATATCCAGCTTCTGACGTGGGGCAATATTTACACACCATTATACACTGCTGTCGTCTGTATCGGCTTCGCTGCTGTAAACCAACCGAAGAGTACTGTTTACAAAGAATCAGCTTACGTTGCTTCCCACTTGATTTGTTTTAATTTTAATTGGACCACTTGTCGTGGAAGCCTTCTTGCCTAAACACGAGGCTGCAACCATTCTCATACAACTGAACTAGAGGAGGGGTTCAAAAGGGATGAGGAGGAAGAGGATCATTATGATGGGCAAACTGAGTCAATCAGCCTTGGCCTTGCGACTCAGCTAAGCAAACTGAATAAAACTTTTAATTTGCAGCGAAGGTGCTATTGTGGAGTGTCTAAATTTGTTGTCATTTGTCTCTTAGAAGACTTTAAGTTGTCTTTAATTTGAGCCTTTAGTTGAGGTTGCAAGTGAAATGATATATTTAATCAAATTGAAATAAATTATTTTGCAATCTTACTTCAAATGTTTTGGTCGTCAAGTACATATACGCAAGAAGTAAAAAATGTAAGGCATGATGAAAACTCGAAGAAAATCATAAATTGGAGTCTCTGCTGAAAAATGAAGCCTATCAAATCTTGCATGCGCGGATCAATTTTTGTGAAGCAGAAAACAGTATTTTGAAGCAAAAGCTGCGTGAAAGCCAGAAATACAGATGAATAATGTTCTGAAGTGTTAATTTATGCTTTTTACAAAAATTAAAGGTTTCTAGTTTCGAAAAGTTACTTCCGACTTTTTACTAGTACTTCTTTCGATCTTTTTTTTCCGCTCCCAAGTTCAGCTTTTTAAGATCAGCTTTTTTCTTTTCTCAGCTTCCTCTGTTGATTGAAGGATGTGGAAGACTGCCTCGCCGTAACGTGTTTGCCAAAAATCTGCAGAAAAAGGCTATCATTGTTTTTCTGCTGCGAGCTATACCGAGAGCAAAGACATAAAGAAGAATGGCCTAATCTAAACAACTTCGAAGATGGTGAAACGCTAAGAACTATGTTTCGACTGGTAAATTCTTCTCCCTCTACTTAAAAGCGCAACTGACCTCTTAGAAATTTTTAAATTGAACTGATCAAGTTCTATAAAAAATATCCTCCCGCAAATAAGGATTTTTTAGAGTTTATACATGTATGTATATTATGTATAAAAAGCTCTGCATAAAACTTGATACTTCGCCTGAGTTTGTCCTGAAAATTTTTGGGAAAACCATAAATTAGAGTCTGTGACGAAGATCCTGCCAAATTCGCGAATGCGACTGTAGAATTCTGCCAATAAGAAAATTTTTTCAGTGTTTTGAAACAACACCTGCGTCATAGTCAAAAATACAGACAGATAAACTGCAGAATTGTTGATCATGCATTTATTAGGCAAACTTTGAAGTTTTCTGTACTTATGACTTTTTTACTAGTACTTTTTTGACCAGAAGTTTTTTTTTCGCTCTGTTTTTAAGATCAGTCTGTTTTTTTTCACCTAGTCACCACTTTCTACTTCATTTTTTCATATCATTGTTGGGTCTAAAAATTGTCAAGTTTTTTGATAACTTGTGTTTCGTTTCTATAAAAGAGCAGTATTTTTTCGCGTTTTGATTTTGATTTTTGTCTCTGATTTCAGCTCACTTCCACTTGGAAAAGGAAAGCAAACTTAACTATCGATAAGCAGAAGTGTTTAAGTCACAGAAAAGGTGATCAAATTCTTATCCGAGTATGGAATTTGGTTATCAAATTTACCTGCAAAAAAAGGTTAACCTATTGATTCAGTTTCCACAAATTCTTTTTTTATCAAAAAAATGTTGATTTTTTTTCAAGTTCAGTTTTTTTTTGTTAAAAGAAAGACAAACTGCATTATCAATCAGTAAAATTATAAAGGGCACATAAATAACTTCAGATTTCCCAAGGGAAACAATATTTGTATGCTGTTTTCTCTAGTTGGACTGAAATCATCAAAAAATGCCAATTATAATTTAGTCTAAAAATTCAAAGATCTTTAAATTTATTTATTGCTTTCGTTGAAATGCGGAAATTGAGATTTTTTAAAAAACGAGTCCGTATTTTTGTTTGTTGACTTATGTTCAAAGACTCTTTTTGAAGTGTCTGACGGCTATAATTTATGACAAATCAGTGGCCTTATAGATTGTTTAAAATCTTGCTGTCAACCAACAGATAGGTACAACACTACCCACTGTAAGTAGGGTTTTTGCGAAATGATCACCGTTTCCCACCTATTAAATGCCAGTGAACGAAGTAGAGACACTTATTTAGGTAGTGTGGTGTTTAAAATGTTTGCTGTAGTTGCTTTGATTTTCGACTTATGCAGAAATTCAAAATAGTTTCAAATGCTTGAAGAAAAGTAAATTACGCTCTCAAGAAACCAAAATCGATGCTTTCAGCCTAGTCCTTTCTAGGCTCGATGTTTTCAACTCGATGACTTCAGCCTCAAACCTGAAGTAAAATTAATTATTTGTTTCAGCCTAGTCCTTTTCAAAAATGTAAAATCAATTTTAGTTTCAATCATTTTTAGGCTATGTTGCAAACAAAATGAAGATCGTTAGAAAAATGTCCGGATATGCTGAAACCCTGTTCGAATAAAAAAAATTTTCCTGAAAGTTGATGCACTCCTCGCCACGTAAACCTGCCTTTGACATCGAAATCAGAAATTGCTTGCAAGTTTTAATTCAGAATTTCAATTATAAAGTCAGTTTTGAAGAAGTATAGATATCTTAGATGTCAGTCTCTCGTCATTTCAAATTAGCAATTCAAAGGATGTAAGATGACAGAAAACACACCCTTTTTGTTAAAAAAGTCATAACATATCTCCACTGGGCCGTGCAAAAAAAGTCGAGACAGTTCAAACATACCAGATTTTGGTCAAACATGCCAAAAAGTATCAAATATTGCTAAAAAAAAACTGAAACCAAATCCAAGCTTTTCGATACGGGTCATTTTTTGTGAGCGTTGAAAATTGGACAAGTTTTTCTCTGTAAATCAATGTTTTTGTGAGTTTAACTTCTATATTAAATTTTTTTGTTCAAAAACTGATTTTGTTATGCAAGATTTTGTATTTTTTTTGCTGTTCAATTGTAGCACCGTTAGCTGAGATTTTCACGTAAAGTTTTTTTTATCAATTTAACCTTTTGGCTACACTGATTGAATGTCGTGGCTCGCAATCCAATCTAGACTCGTAGTTTTTTATTTCAATACTTAGAGCTTTTTTGGATCTTCATCTGTGTTATGTCTGTCTCAAGCTTTTCACATGGTGGAGGAAAAAACCAAAAAGTTCACTTTTTAAAAGTCGATTAACATAGTTCAGAATTTACTATAAGTCGTGATGATATTTCTGTCATTTTCTTTGGGGAATAGTCTTAAGTTTTGTTGAAGCTCAAACATACTTTTCGCGGTTTGACTTTTGATTCTTTGAAGCTCAGTTCGTTGCATTTAATAAAAGAAAGGCAGTTTCTACTATCGAATGGCAAAAGGGTATAACCACAAAAAAACTAAATTTGCTGTTTTTCGTCTTTTAGAAGACTTTAAGTTGTCTTTAACTTGAGCCTGTAGTTGAGGTTGCAAGTGAATTGATAAATTTAACAAAATTAAAATAAAAAAAAAATTTGCTATTTTATTTCAAATATTTTGGTCGTCAAGTACTAATACAAAAGCAGTAAAAAACGCAAGGGATGATGAAAACCCAAAAAAAATTATAAACAGGAGTCTTTACAAAATTTGATCCATGTATGCACAATTTGATAGGCTTTTTTCAGCAAAGTAGAAAATAGTGTTTTGAAACACAAGCTATCTAAACTTCAGCACATTCATCGGTGTTTTGACTTTCACGCAGCTTGTGTTTGAAAACACTATTTTCTACTTTACAAAATTTGATCCGTTCATGCACTTTTTGATAGGCTTTAATTTTCAGCAAAGTGGAAAATAGTGTTTTGAAACACAAGCTGCCTGAAGGTCATACAGAAAAGTGTGCTGAAGTGTTAACTTAACTGAAGGTTTCCTGTTACGAAAAATTTTTTTCCGATTTTTTTCTGGTACTTTTTTTATTAAATGGTTTCCGCTCTCAAGTTATAAGATCAGTCCTTTTTTTCTCAGCTTCCTCCTTTTTTGCATGGAGGATGTGGATGACGCCTTGCCGTAGCGTGTTTGCCAATAATCTGAAGGAGAAAGCTATTATTACTTTTCTACTGCGAGTTATAACGAGCGCAAAGACATCAAGTAGAATTGCCTAATCTAAACAACTTCGAAGTTGAAGATTTTTATTTCGACTGGAAAATTCCTCTCCCTCTACTTAAAAGCGCAACTGACTTCTTAGAAGTTTTGAATTGAACTGATCAAGTGCTATAAAAAGTATTCTCCCGCAAATAAGGATTTTTTACAGTTTATACAAGAATGTAATTTATGTATAAAAAGTTCTGCAAAAATTTGATACTTCGTTTGAGTTTGTCTTGAAAATTTTTGGGAAAAACCATAAATTGGAGTCTTTGATGAAGATCCTGTCAAACTCGCGAATGCGACTGTAGAATTCTGCAAATTAGAAAGTTTTTCAGTGTTTTGACCCAACATCTGCGTAATAGTCAGAAATACAGACAGATAAACTGCTGAATTGTTGATCATGCATTTCTTAGGCAAACTTTGAAGTTTTCTGTACTTATGACTTTTTTACTAGTACTTTTTTGACCAGAAGTTTTTTTTTCGCTCTGTTTTTAAGATCAGTCTTTTTTTTCACCTAGTCACCACTTTCTACTTCATTTTTTCATATCATTGTTGGGTCCAAAAATTGTCAAGTTTTTTGATAACTTGTGTTTCGTTTCAATAAAAGAGCAGTATTTTTTTGCGGTTTGATTCTGATTTTTGTCTCTGATTTCAGCTCACTTCCACTTGGAAAAGGAAAGCAAACTTAACTATCGATAAGCAGAAATGTTTAAGTCACAGAAAAGGTGATCAAATTCTTATCCGAGTATGGAATTTGGTTATCAAATTTACCTGCAAAAAAAGGTTAACCTATTGATTCAGTTTCCGCAAATTCTTTTTTTATCAAAAAAATGTTGATTTTTTTTTCAAGTTCAGTTTTTTTTGTTAAAAGAAAGACAAACTGCATTATCAATCAGTAAAATTATAAAGGGCACAAAAATAACTTCAGATTTCCCAAGGGAAACAATATTTGTATGCTGTTTTCTCTAGTTGGACTGAAATCATCAAAAAATGCCAAATATAATTTAGTTAAAAAATTCAAAGATCTTTAAATTTGTTTATTGCTTTCGTTGAAATGCGGAAATTGAGATTTTTTAAAAAACGAGTCCGTATTTTTGTTTGTTGAATTATGTTCAAAGACTCTTTTCCAAGTGTCTGACGGCTATAATTTATGACAAATCAGTGGCCTTATAGATTGTTTAAAATCTTGCTGTCAACCAACAGATAGGTACAACACTACCCACTGTAAATAGGGTTTTTGCGAAATGATCACCATTTCCC